CGGCGAGCGGACAGTGCACTTCATGTTACCTGCACTATTTTTTCAAATTTTCGCACCTGAGAGCTGATCTTGATTTTATCTCGCATCTTCCGAAGTACTGCAAAAAAAAAAACTTCATGCTTTCAAAGGTTCAGCATTTCTGCGAAACCCGCAAGTGGCTTACGAAAATTATTAAGAATTATTGCAGCGATACGGTCGCGCTCAGCATGAAACAACCGTCAGCTTGCTTCGAAAAAAGTATCCAGATTATAATGTGTCATATACGAATGACGATTGACTACTGACGTTCCTCCGTACTGCACTTTGCAAGCCCGCCTGTCTTTGTATTAATTCTGATGCCTTTCGCTGTGAGAGCAGACTTTTGCAGAGGCAAAATTCGCAAATTAAACTTTTCCCTGAAACTACATAAATTGCCATCTGTTTGCGACTGACGTCGTTGCTCCACATTCTCAGCTCAAAATTACCTCTAATCATTGTTCTCATCCCCTGTTTGCAAATGTCCATGTTCACTGATTCTTAAGCATTTTGCATAAAGGTAATTCGCGATCATCGCGTTGTTGATCTCTTATTTTTTGTGATAACTGAACCATCTTGTAAACTGGGTTCCGGGCTGGCTGGGTTTGGCCAGCGTGCAGTTACTGTTAAATCACAATAGTGCATCTAACCTCTGAAAAGAGCAGGCTGTTTCGTCTGGAAAAGGTTCGAAATGTGCAAAAGCGTGAGAAGCACTCTGCCTGGCTTATCATTTCTGGGCCGTTCTGTCTCCCTCCGTTCCTCGCTTTATTGGTCGTTTTCGTTCCGATTTTGTGAGGGGAGGGGGGAACAAAAAGTGCTTCCACTCCAACCTGGGGACCTAAAGCGCGAGTGTTGGTACAAGTCCCTGTACAAGTGATCGTTGGAATACTGCTTGATTCCTACTGAAAAACGAAAAATACGTGAAACTGGAGGCGCCGTGGGTTGTCTGTCACATGAGTGGGTGTGAAGTGGCAGATAAGCTTGGACGTTTTTGAACCGGCATCAAGGCTTTGGCATTGGAGGTCCAAGCAGCTTCTTTTGTTCCGCTGGGAGCGAATCGAACAGCTGCGCATATTTGGCGGCTCTCTCCGCGTGAGTGCCGCGCTGTGTGTGAATTTCCTTCAGTTTTGCTTGAATTTGTGCTGGAAGCTTCTCGAAACCTGGCGGCGGGGGCAGTTTGGCCCAAACTTCGTCGGACAGTGAGTCCATGACTGCTCCTATTTTGGTGAGTTTTTGCTGAAATCGATTGTTTCAATGCGAGGAGTGATATTTCAAGCTTCGCATGCACGGTTTTTGCTATTAATTTCTCAGTGGGGAATTGTTTCGCATACAAACGGAAAGAGCTGAAACGTAAAAAAGAAAGCGCTTCAAGATGAGAAGCCAAAGTTCGAAATAGGAAAATTGAAATCGCCGAACTGACCACTGCTGATAAAGATTTGTCTTTGTGGATTGCAACAAGCTGCTCGTATTTTTCAGGCGGAAGGACCTTCTTGAGCTCTGGCGGCGGCTCCTGCAAATTTCAGAGAGATGCAGAGGTTTTTTTCGGTAGCTCGTCTTCTTTAAGTGATCTATTTACATTCAGTATAAATTCATGCCCTAGGCTGAAAAAGGAGAGAATATCTCGGCCGGTAGCAATCCTCAGCGCAGGGGGGGAATAATGTATATATGCTGTCCTCTTTCCTTTCTCGACACGATTCTGTTTGAGCGTGTCACTTTCAACCAGTGATCCATACTGCATCAAAAATTGACATACATTGCCTCCCCTCCATCTTGCCTGGACCGTGCAATGGATTTTGCGCTAAAATAACTTTGACATCTCGTACACACCAGATATCACGCGAATGTACGGGTTTCATTCACTAAATCGGCTCAAATTCGATGTCCAAGTTGCAGTTGTGTTGGGAGAGAACTGGGAGCAGCGCATGAAAGTCAATTCGAGACATAAGCGATCAGAAGGCGCTTGAGGTAAATACAAGAAGGATGACCACTCTCTACTTTCAAGCCTGATCCTTCTTGTTCTCTATAAATTGCACACAGATGTCCTGCCTGCAGATTCGCTCCCCTGCGACGTGTATAAGTGATGCGTTTTGCGTTATAATCTTAGTGTCAGTGTATGTCCACTGCTAACTCAGCATAGAAACCCTTCCTCCCTCCCTCCCTCCCCGCA